CTCTGGGCCCCTGTAGTAGACCTGGACCCTGTATATCTCTGGGGCCCCTGTAGACCTGGACCCTGTATATTTCTGGGGACCCTGTATATCTGGGCCCCCTGTAGACCTGGACCCCGTCTCCCCGGGTCTCTGCCTGTCCTCCTTTGTGAGCAGTGACTCAGCAGACCCCCGGAGCCTCCGGCGGCCCCCTCCTCCTCCCGCTGCCGCCGGGGACCGCCCTCCCTCCGGCCTGTGTGACCAGCAGCCCCCGCCCCGCCGCTCCAGTCCGCCCGGCGCAGCGCAGCCTCTGGCCACGTCTCAACCGGAGCAGCGTCACCGAGCACCGCGGCGCACCGGCTCCGTCCCGGCAGCACGAAGCCCCGGCGAGCGAACCGAAGGTAAGAGCCCCCGCGGACCGCCGCCGGTTACCGGGAAACGCCGAAGGAGAAGCCGCGCGGGTCGCTGCTGCTCGGCGGGGACCGAGTGTTCCGCTGGAACTACTTTGTGTCGGACGAAGTCTGCGACGCACTTTGCATCAGTAAACTGCAGAGAAGTCCGGACGGGTCCCGGGTTCTGGTCCTGCTGGAGCGTCCACAAAGTGCCGGTAACCGGTTCGATCCGCGCTCAGCTCCGAGTTTCTCTGTTTGTTGACTCGTTACTCAGCGCTCAGAGTAACTGAGTACTTCTACTATAGTAGGATACTTGTACTGTACTCGAGTATCTCCACTTTGTGATGCTTCATGAACTTTTTTTTTATTTCTTTCCAGCAGCAAACTCACAGAATAGTTCTAATTAGTTCATTAAATGAATTCAAAAAAACCCAGTTGGCTCATTTCGACCAACGTTTAACGTGTTCACGTTAAAATAAACACTTCAGGTGATTTAAAGCTGAATTCAAACTGAGCTCATTCAGTGAAATCAGCTTCGTTCATTATTATTTTGGAAGCAAAACTGATTCTACTAAGTTAAAGTAGGTTGTTGGTTGAACTTAATTCAGTTAAAAGTTGTTTTAATTACAGTAAAATACGTAAAAATATAATAATGACCTGATGTTTAAGTTTTAATTAAAGAGTGTTGCTTTATTCTTCACTTTTTAGCAGTTTGAAGCTAAAACTCTCAGTGTGTTTTCTGTTCAGTCACTTCAGGGCCACCTGGTGGGTCTGGTGGAAAGTAACTAAGTACATTTACTTGAGTGCAGTACTGAGTACTTTACATAAGTATTCCCATTTACTGCTGCCATGTAGTCTTCTGTCAGTTTTAGTGACTTTGCAGATTTTTAACACAAAACACACGAAGAGCTTCCAACAAATGTTTAGTTGTAAAGTAATCGAGTAATCGAGTAATCTCCTACTTCATTCATAGTCTTGACATTTTGTTCTATTTATTATCAGATGTGAAGTTTGTGTGTCTTTGCAGTAGTTTTCTGAATTTTTTTGTCAGTGGTGGAAAGTAACTAAGTACATTTACTCCAGTACAGCGGTGAACTGTTTAAGTACTTGTACTTTCCTGGAGTATTTCCGCGTCGTGCTGCTTTCTGCTGCTCATGTCAGAGGGAAACGCTGACCTGCTGCTGCTCTGCGTCCGTCTGACGCTTTATTTTCGGTGCAGCTCTGACACAGAGGATAAAGAACACGACTGCAAAGTTAGTTTCAGATGAAAGCGTAAATCCTTGTTTTGGTCCAGAAGTTAAAGTGCAGCCCGGTTCTGTTTCACTGAGACAGGACACGCTGTTGCTGTGATGCTTCTCTTTTACTTGTAATGGAGTACTTTTACTTTGCTGTAGTGGTGCTTTCACTAGAATCTGGATCCTTCTTGTACCTCTCTGCTGCTGCAGAAGCCCTCAGATGGAGACATGAATGAGAATCTGTAGTTCTGGTGACTGCTGAGAGCAAATGGAGTCATTTTAGTGTTCGACAGACAATTCAAAGTTTTATCTCTAAGCTGAATCTGAATCTGTTCCGGTTGCAGTTTTTTGTTTAGCTCCTGAAAACTTCCACAGACTCAGTTGTTAGCTGCAAACGGACCGAGCTCTGTCTGCATCGGATCAGTCTGTTAGATGAGCGTGACATTTAAAAAACGCGACAGAAATGGACATTTTTACCTCCAACTTATCAGAAAACACTGAATGACAGGCTGCTTTTTCACCTTGCAGCTGCAAACCTTCCAAATTTTATGCAACAGAAATGAAATGCAGCCAACGCTGCAGCAGACTGTGTTTGAAAAAAGGGATTTTTATATCAGGTGCAGCCTTGAAGGGTTAAAACTTTATAATTGAGTCCCACATGAAGGAGCACAGAGCTGGAGAGGTGTGAGGAAGGACCCGGCGTGGACGTGCAGCTCTCTGGGGTTTGTCAGCCTGGGACTGGGTGACTCAGCTTATAATAAACTCTGGAAACGAGGACGAGGTCAGGCAGGCAACACGAGCACATTTTGTTCTATATGTGGAGGCTGCAGCCTATAGGATCCTCCAGCAGCAGCAGCAGCACGTCTTCCCTCCACAGATGGAAACCAGAGCTGATGAAGCTGTTCTGGAGATGAACAGTTTCAACAGACACAATATTAAATCACAAAACAGAGTCACATTGATCCTAATTAGATTTAAAGGTCGTATTCATGCCGCTGATTTCACTCAGATGCACTTAAATCATTTGTTTCCTCTCAAATAATCATTTTAATTGGAGAAGTCCAAGTTTAAACGCTTTTTTTTACCCACATGTCAAATATAAACCCGAGTTCCTCATCAGGTTCTCTGGTCTTTACTCCGTAATCCACAGAAACGTGAACATCAGAAGCAGGAAGTCTGATTTTTACACCGTCGCTGGATATTTAAAGGATCAAAATGTAAATTCAAGTCAATGAAAAACTGTAATAAACTTCCTCAAAGCATAAAGACAGCATTTAACCTCAGCTCAGATCATTATTTACCTCCTACAGGTCGTTACTGAATAACTCGTCGATACAGACTCGCTTAGCATCACATCAGCTCAGCAGGACTGATGGGCATCGATCAGGTGGATTAATGGTTGATCGGTGTCTCTGGAGACATGATTGCTTCATCCATCTGACTGCTCCGGCTCATGTTTAAAGTTTGGGAGCACCACACTGAGACTGGAGAGTAATAGAGTACATGACATGTAACTAGGATACCAGGAAAGGTTTATTGTTACAGAACAGAAGAGATTTCTGACAGATTTAGTAAAAACTGTGGTTCTAAGCAAGAGTTTAATTTCAAAATGCATTTCTAAACAGACTCAAGAACCATTTTTCAGACTCTTCAGTGGAAGAACCAGAGTTCAGGTGAATTTATCTGACAGAGATCCTCACAAAGTTCTCTTCAACAAAGGTTTGACGGTCAGTAAACATGATGTGGTGACGCTCTGCTGTAAATGTTTAATCATCCTGTCAAATCTAATGAAGGGAAAGCTGGACTTTCTGCTCCAGAGACCACGCAGGTCTCCAGACTTCTGTTGTCTTTGAAAAACATGTTAAAAACGACGGTGGAACGATCTGCACAGACTTTCAGTTTAGCTCCTGCTGCTGATAGAAGGCAGCTGCCGGGTCTTAAAGTGAAAATCTCACGTCTCAGCCGGAGAGCTGTGGTGGTGACATGTAAAGGTTCTCACATTGTGCTCATTGTCTGTGTGGGCAGACCTTATCTGACATTCATTTGGCATTTTGATGTTAAACTCACAACATGCACAGAATCAAGAGTTCTGAAAAACTGTATGAACTGTAGAATGAAATGAGCTCAAACACCAGATCACACCTGGTTTACCTGCAGCTGCTGAACTGTGGCTGCTCACCTGTCTGAAGCCAACCTTTACTGTTTACTGTCTCCATGTCCAGGTATTCTAATCCACGACTAGAGCTACAGCCGTGACTCCATANACCACAAAGAGACACAACCACCTCAGACAGCAGTGTATTTGTGATCCTGTCGCTGACTGTGTGTATTCTTGTGATAATTTGTCGTTTCTAACACACACCTGCGGACAGACACACACTAACGGTTGTTCCACCTTCTTCCTGGACAGGTGTCCTCTGACGGAGCTCCACCCGTTCTGCTGCTGTTCCTTCTGGTTTCTACTGATGCACACGGTTTGTGTGTTTGTGTTGTTTGTGACTGAAGTGTTGTTGTTGTTGTTGTGTACATGGCTGCAGGCTCATCAACAATAAACACTTGAAACATCTTCTCATCATGTGTGGACTGAAAGCAGCTGTGGTTCCTCTGGTTTGTAGCTTTGAGGCGAACACACCATCAGACTGCTTCTCTCTTGTTTATTTACTGTGAGAGCAGCCGGTCGGTTTGGTGTCTTCAGGCGTCCTGCTTCTCGTTTATTCATGTTCCCTCTGACTCAGCTTTGTCAGTCAGTCTGTTGTGTGTCTGTGTGTAGTTCTGGACCGGCACCAGGACATTAGCTCACTAAGCCGTTGGTCCGGGTGGAGCCAGCCGGTTCAGAGTCGCGCCCTGTTGGCTGGACGACATGGAGCTGCCCTCAGGATGCTCTGCTGCTGCACAACAGCACTCAGACATGATATGTCGTACTGGTTGGGTTCGTTCTGCTGCTCAGAGTTCCTCCAGAACCAGGAAACGGACCGAAGGAACAAAGGTCCAGACGCTCCGTTATCTCCTCGTTGGTCTCAGACAGCAGGACATATTAACGTTGCTGACTGATGTCATCTTCACACATATTTGGGAAAATACTTTGATAAAAGTCTAAACCCACAACAAGTAGACACACAACCCCCGAAGAGACACAAAACAGCACCACAGAGACACAAACTGAGGGCAAAGACACACAACATGACACCAGAGACACAGAACGCAGCATTAGAGTGCAAAACAACCACACATTTTGTTAGATGTTGTTTTTGTTGTTTTGCGTGTTTGCCAGACAAAACTTGGGATGTACTGATTTAAATGAACTCTTTAAGCTGAGACATTGCTCTGCTCTTTTTTTTTTGTCATTTAAACTCAAATTCAAAGACTTAAATTCAAGTTGTAAAAACTTAATGTCTGGGGTTCATCCTCTGGGTACCATGAATGTCTGGGGTTCATCCT